TTAAAGTCGTTTGCAATAGTCCAGTTACTCATTATACAGCACAAGAACTTGCATACGCTCTAATGCTATACAGACTGTATTAAACATTAATGTGAGTGATAACCAAAAATAGATTGATTGACACAGGTGCTAGAAAATTCCCACAATTAAGTTTTTGAATAAATTAAATCCGTCAAAAATTTAAGAAACAACGTGTATAGAAAATAGTGGAGGTACGGGGATTTAAAAGTGGCGAAATAATATGATACGAATGTGATTTTATATTCCAGCAAACTACGGTTGTTTGGCCCATTTTAGCTTGCCGGATTCATCAATCATCACTAGATGAATCACTCATCAGTAGATGAACCTAAACAACCTGACAAAATTTATAAATCTCGATTTGATATTATATATACATTTATCCGTATAAATCTTCTGTGAGTTTTAAAATATAAAATTAAAACTAAATGAAATTTCAAAATAAACAATAAATTACAACTGAAATTTTAATAACTTATGTACAGAAACTGTTATACATACATTGAAGCCGCATAATTCGAAAATTTGTTGATCTTCACCATGTACTCGTACATAAGACAACTGCTATATAGAAGATACCTGTAAAATTAAAAAGAATGATTTTAAGTAATAAAAATGTTTTTCCTTTTTGATGTCTACACTTTGAATAGTGCGGCAAAATACTATAAATAATAATTTATTGTAAGCATAAATAATTTCAATGAATTTCTTTAAATTTATTGGCGCCATTAAAAGGTAAACTAGCTGGCATTGTATAATATCCGTGTAAGTGTGAATAATTAAAGTTTTTCATATTTTAATGTAAATTTCATATGACGTATATATTTCCATCTTCATGAACCCGTAAAATATTTAATTTTCATTATATTATTTATTTTAAATATTTATTATAAAAAAAATAAATTGTAATGCTAGCATTAATGTTATATATACTATTCATGATTTCTGTTACATTACAACTACTAACTAATACAAAAAAATTTACGAATAAGATTCAAAATATGGAAAATATGAGGTGAAAAATTTTAATGTTATTTCATTAACATTAACAAGCCTATTTAAACTATTCATTTAGTGTTAGTGCATTCAAACAAAAAAAAACATCACAAAGAGAAAATATTCTAATTTGATTCTATTTTACGTCTGTCAATTATGAAGTTTACTTATCTGAAAGCAGGCTCCCATTGCTTATGGAATCTCAAATAGAATAATGAATAAAAAATATACCTGAATTTAAAATTTTATGATATTATTTTAAATATTAAATGTATTAACCAGAAAAAAAAACAAATTATTTTTCTTCAATGCTTAGGTCTACGGTTCGTGTTGGACGACCTTGATTTCTTTAACAATTTTCTTCTTTAGATGTCCCTTTCATTTTATTAATTTCTTTTAATTACTAATTTTCATGATATTATGGAACCTGTGCCACCCCGTGTATCATTCATTCTTCGTACAAATTTGTTTACCAATCATATTTCCAATGAATAATCCTCTTTGTCCATGTACAATTCTCACCCATTTATTGTTCGGCAGCTCTCAATCGAATTCTAAATGATTCTTTGATTTTCTTGCAAATCCTATGTTTTTCAATTGTATTTTTTATAATTGCTTAATATTAACGGTATAAATAACAATTTGTGCTACATAATAAACATTTTTTTAAGATTCTAACTTGTTTTTACATAAGTTTTCAACCCTTGACTGTTTACAAATGCTACTTATATATGAACAAAACAAAGGAACTACAAACAAAAGCGTAAAACCAATTATTCAAAAATAAAACAAAAAAAAATATAAAAGCCTAATAATTTTTTACCAAGCTTTAGCCAATTAGCGAAATGGGGTGTAAAAATGACATTGGACTAATTTTTCTTTTTTTTTTCTTTTTTTTTTTTTATTTTACTTCTATTCTCATTTAAAAAATGACAGAAAAACGCAAATGTTAACTAAAGCAAAAAAAGAACCTAAAAGAAACTAACCTTAAAACACGCAAATTGAGACAAGGTAATTAAATTATAAATATACATATAAGAAATATTCTAATATGAGAGAAAGGGACAGAAATTAAATAATAAGAACAAAGTAAAATATATATGTATATATGTACGTAGCTACTTAAGTGAAGAATGAAAAGAATAGCGGTATTTTGTTAATGTTACACATTAATTATGTCAGTTAAATTGTGTTCATCTTATGAATGTCAGAGTTGAATAAAATTGAACAAGGGAAGACATCAACTATATATAAAGTAGGGTACAAAAATGATTTGCTTATATTGTGTCTTACCAAACCTTTAAGAAAATGAAACTAAAAAAACTGAAAGTAATAATTAAGAGACGAAGAAAAAGAAAAATACAGTCATATTTATATACTTACGTACAACAAAATAAAAGGAATGTCCTGAAACATAAAGAATTTTATTAAGAGACCGGAAGCGATTGTTTAAGCAAATGAATGAATTAAAAATTACTTTTGGCACGCACATTAATTTCAAAAAGCGAAATTCTTATGTGATCAACTACTTCTCGTACATCAAAGTAGCATTTAAATTTCAATATAAATAAAATTCAAATATTTGATTTTTGCAGTTTACTCATTTAATTGTTGCCCACGTATACAGTCAATAAAATTGATCAATATTTGCTTATTTCTGTATCTCAAATTTTACAACAATATTTGCATTTAAATAAACAATTTCCAGCCATTTTAAATATTAAAATAAAAATTAAAATCTTTAATTTATTACAAATTATTAATCAAACTGTGCAAAGCCGAACGTCTGTATAAAGCCCAAATACTTGTATATTAGTTTTTAAACCAAACAAATTAGATGTTCACTCTACAACTGATTTGTCAGCACTAATTTTAATATTTAGTATAAAATATATGCATTTATTCAATACACATAAGGCGTGCTTTACATTATTAAATATTAGGGAAGTTTTACACATAGTTCATTAATATACAACCAGAACCAGAAAGCATACGATTCCGGTAAAGATTTTCTAAAAAAAAAACAAGAAAATGACATGAAAACTTCGATTTCAACTGCGTTTAAGGTTGGCATGCGCTCCTTAACACTTTTTTTTTTACAAAGAATAATAAAATTATGGAATTTATTTAGTTTTTATATAGAATTTATAATAATTAATTACAAAACTTATATATAGCCACAGTCTAAGGATAAAAATTATTGTGAGAGAAAAAGAAATCAATGTCGTTTTGCTAGTTCGAAAAGTTTTTAAAGGTCATATAAGAACACAGAACAAAATTAGATCAATTAATTGCATGCAATAGATATTTTCATAAAATTACAAAGTTTTTTTTTTTTGGTATTTAAAATTTTTTTAAACAACTTTTTTGCATGTAAAGTTCAAAGTAAGTTATAAGTTTTTTTTGTATTTACGTTAATGAAAGTAAATTTATGAAGCCCAAAATGAAGAGTAAAGATAGTATATATAACTTAATAAAATTAGTAGTTTTTATATTACATTTGCCGGAGTGATGAAATTTCGTAAAGAAACGAATATAGGTAGAGTTATCCTTGTCATCCGCTCTGTGATACCTAAAAGTACGAATTAAGATTGATATTATTTTGTAGTTTTTAGGGTAGGAATCAGATGAAAATGCTCACGGATCCACTACTGAGACATTGCCGAGGGGATCAATGAGGAGGTTGGTACTGGAAGGTGAAGGTACTAGAAAGTTCTGTGTGGAAATTAAGTAGATTTCGATGCACCTTCTCTGAGAGAGTTAGTAGTTAAGAGCTATGAGAAATCAGTTCTCCACAAGGTATTCGAAAATATCAAAAAAATAGGTCCCAAAGGAGGGCTTTAGACGTTATAGGTGGAAGGGGGACGAGAACACGATGAAACAAGTCTTAGGTCGCGGTGCATTGCTTAATTGAACGAAACATTGCTAACGCTTGAAAACATTCTATTAAAGCTTTTTCAAATATTCATCTTATTCATATTAATTGGCATTTATTCATATTAATAGGCAGTTTAAAACTTACTTGGCATCACCGTTTGTCAAAGGGACGCCCCATACTCGTTAATGTAAATTTCAGTATTGCATAATTCAAGTAAATTTTTTAAATATTAATAAACATATTTCAATTACTTTACCAAAGCAAATGGATAAACTTATCCAAATTTCGTTCTCGTATTTGCATTTCATATTCCGCAAGTTCAAATTGTCTTATTTAAAATCTAAAACTTAAAACAAACACATTTTATTTTAAATTTTATTCACAATTAATAATCAATTTTAATTTTTATTTTTCAGATGCGCTGTAATGAAATTTTATTCTCAACCCAGACTCCGGACCTTCTATACATATATAAATAAAATATTGATTTTTTTCGGATTTATTAATCGAAATGAAATTTTACATAATACGTGAAAATAAAATTTAATTAATAAAATAAATCTTTGAGTATTTATGAAATTAAATAACAAAGTTAATGTAATTTTAGAATACAAAAAATAAAGTATAAGAAGCAAAATAATATATAAAAAAATTCTAACAGTAATAAAAACGAAATACATAACTGCCATCTGTTGTGATTTAATCATAACCATATTAATACTTAAAATTTTTTTCTTTTAAATGTCAAAATATTTAGTTGTTTTTCGTTTCTGTCGCGTCAATAATATTTATATGTGTAATATTAAAATTAGATTTTTAAAATAATTAAATATATATAAATAAAATTTAATTCCAATTTTATAAAGAAAATTAAATAAATTATTATCTTTAAAATTTATAATTATAATTAAATAACAACCAACATTATAAAATAGCAATAAAAATTAATAATCTAATTAGTATTAAGATGAGCTGATAAAAATAAATCCTTTATATTTTAAAAATTGTGCAATTTTATTAAAAAAAAAATTATAAAATTAAAAATTTCTTTATTTTATAAAAATTAATAAAAAAAATTTCAATTCAAATATAAAAAAATATAAGAGAAAAACACAGCAGAGCTATAAGAAAAAAATAATTAAATTTTATTAAATTTTAGCATGTTATTATAAAAAATTCTACATAATAATCGAATATATTTAGGCGGCATTAAGTAAAAAAAATGTCTGAAGTAAAAATTCAATTTCCAATAAAATAAAATTAAAAAATTCTATTAAATGTAATTAATTTAAGTGTTGTCGTCGTCGGTGAACAAATATTTTTTAATTAAATATTATATTTACCAGTTATACATATATATATATATATATTAAAATTAAAATTTAAAAAATTATATAATTATATATATACATAATATAAAATGCTTAAATAAATTAAAATTTCCATTAAGTATTTTATAAGAAAAAAATATATTAATTAATATTTTCCATTATATACATACAAAAAGTGAATTTATTATAATAAAAATACAAATAATTAAAAATAAATAAAATATTTCAATCATTTTGGATAATCTCATAAACTGGTAAGTAAACTAACACTTTATAAATACCTATATAACAATATCACTGTGTATAGAGTTTATAGTAATATACAGAAACGAACTACTTGTGGGTGGCGCTGTTTTCAATTAAAAAATTTAACGCTCACTAGCGCCTCCCGAAAAAGAAGTAGATTTTGTCAGATTTTTAGATATACGAAATAAACGAGAATGAACTCGTTTTTGGAGAGGAAAAGATTTAGGTTTTTAATGAAGTTTCATAAATAAGCTCATTATATGTAGAACAACTCCAAAGTTATTAATATTAATTTGTAGTCACCCATATAATTTTTGCTGATCATTGGATCAAAGAACAATTTCTGAAATTCTTTACAACTTTATAATTGAAACATTCTACTCTACATTGTGCCTTATTAATGACGTAATTTCAATGTTATCTACTTATTCAATTTTATTACGGCTCCAAAATAGTAGGTACCCAAATAACTGCTAGAGTAACATTCAATTTTATTATTAAAACTCGAAAAGGTATTCTTGTTTTTTTAAATTTTTACTAATTAGTTAGGTATTTTAAAATATTTCCTTGATTTTTATGATTGGCATTAAAAAGATTTTGAATGTGGGTCAAAGAAAAAAGTTAAACAAAATTTTAAAAAGAATTTGAAAAGGAATTAATTTGAATTTTATTTTTGAAATCACGCAATTTAAAACAAATCAATTTAAGAGTTTTCTATGTTAAACTTTGTATTTGCGGTTAAAATTTTTACCTGCATTAGATAGTTTGGTTTTCCGGAATTAATAGAGTGTTCTAAGAATTTAGTAGAAACCTTTAGAAAACCCATCTTTCTGTTGAATTCTTAAACGAATTTTCATTAATCTGAATGACTATAAAATAATTTGCTTTTGGAAAATTATTCATACGTGTACATACTAACGTCAGTATAGTCAAATGGATGCTAAAAGTTATAAAATGTTAAAACAAACGCTCCATGATTACAATTATTTCATATTACATTGATTCGGTAATCAAGAAAAGTTAAATAATGTGTGCCTTTTCAAGGAATAGGAAAGTAAACTATTATGATTATGAAGGCGAATGGTTTGGTCTATTGAGATACACTTCTCTAAATAAAATCCATCTTACACACCTTAGAGGGTACTGTGGATGATTGAACTATTAAAAAATTTAGCCGATACTATGTTGTGTTTCTTCCTTGCTGTATCAATAATTCTAATAGAAATCTTCTGTTGTTCTAAATGATATTTTTAAATCTCTAATAAAATACGCATTTCTACAATAAACAAAATTTCAGACCATCTTTAATTTAACATATTGGGAAATATTTGACTACTTTAATAAATAATACTTAAAAATCTCTTTAAATCTACCAAAAACTATTAAATTAATACTTAAAAAAAATCCGAGAATAAACACAATAATTATTATTGAATATAAAATTTCCTTTTCCCGATAAAAATAATCTACATCCATATACATAAAGAAGTAGCAAATCACAATGAAATTTTATGGCTTTCCAATAATCGCCTCATTTAAAAGGAAAACAAGAACTTTTTTTTTATATTCGACTACATATTTTATTTCAGTTGTTCACATATGTGCATCATCAAGTATAATACTGATTTTGGTGGTATGTAAGAGAAAGAGTGATTTCCATTCTTATCCCAATTTTATTATTTTAAAAAATTTTTTTATTACCCCAAAGAAACAGCTCAGTAGCCGCACCAAGAAACAATATGTTATTTTTTGTATTTCCTTCTCTTTCACTTAAAAACTTCATCTAGTTGTTTTGTATATTTTTATGTAAGACAAGACCAGACAAACTACAAAATTGTCCCAATATAAAATAATATAAGAAAACAATAAAAATAATATAGTAAACAAAAAAAAAAAACGCCAAAACCAGAAAAAAAAAACCAAATGAGAAATTCGAGTCTCATTTTCTAGGTCCAAAAAACATTAAATTTTAAATTTATTAAAAAGAATAAAATACAAAATTGAAGGGAATTAGATGGGAAATAGAAGAGATGGAAAGGGGAAGGGCGGAGAGGGGGATGGCTCTTATGAGTATACAAAGAATAAAGTTGAAACACACCAAAAAAAAAGAGTCAAAATTTCAACTGAATACTAAAACGATACGGAGGATGTTAAATTTGTCTTAGTTAATCATACTAATATTAGGATCCCAGGGATGGAATCAGAACTTTAAAAATTCTACTTTTATTCTGAGAAAAAAAAAATATTGTTTTAAATGTTGCGAAGTCTAATTTTCGTGGAACAAAAGTCTTAATTCTAAATAAATCATAAAATTATGTTGCAAATGGATGAGAAAATTTATGAGACCTCACAAATTACTTTTCTATACATTCATAACCATAATACTTATAATAATTTAAAAATTCACTGGCTGTAACACAAACATGTGTACTGCATTTGGTATTTTCATATTTTATATGCATACATTCGAAAAAAAGAGAGAACGTGAACAAAAAACGAAACTTAAATAGAACGACAAAAAAAAATATGATTTTTTCCACTTAAAATGCAAGATATGGTAGCATTATAAAATATGTTACGTTCGAATAATGCAAAAGAATAAGACAACACTAAAAAAGCATATAAGATATATTTTTATTTAGATTAGAAAACATAATGTGAAAGACAGAGGAAAAGAAAAAAATGAAAGGGTTTTCGAAAATAAAAAAGAAAAAAAAGTTGGACCTGCAGTATTTATTGTTAACCAACAAAACCATCACCATCATCATCATTATTATTGTTATGAGAAGCATTCTGCATTCAAATTGCATATGCTGCTAACGTAATTAAGATGGGACATACAACACAACACAATATTTTTTGTGATCAAAATATCTTGTTGCTCTGATTGTATTCTTCTTTCGTTCTTTCTACTTCTTTTTCATTTTTTTTTGTTGTCTCTTTCAGAGGTTTTTTTTTTCTCATTTTTATTATCGTTTTCGTTAGCTATGGAATTCTGTTAACTTAATTTTTGGATCATTTGCAGTTTTTGTGCATTTTTTTTTCTTGTATGTATGTATTTGGGTTTTGGCCTTGAACTATGTTTAATGGCTTTCAAGAGATGTTCTATCGTTTGATGCTAATGTGCAGCAGCAGCAGCGATAGATGCGATTAAAAGAATAAAACGAAGTAAATATTGCATAAAAAATGTGTTAAAAAAAGTAAAGAATACGGGTATAAAATTTCTATAGAAATGGATTAGTGAAGGTAATGTGCAATGTAATGGAAAGAGAAGGAAAATTTTTAAATAAAAAAGAAAAAAAGTTTTTCATTTTCTCTTTTGAATTTTAAATTTGTTTTAAATTTGTATAGGTAGTTGGGAAAAAAAATAAAATGTTTTCCCTTTATTTCTTAATTCTATGAATTTTAAAGTATTAAAGATTTTTAAATTTAAATTTAGATTTTTTTTTTTATAATTTCATAAAATTTAAGTTTTGCTGAATTGAATTTTTTTTGTAATTTAACTAAAATTCTGAAATTATAATGAAAAACTGATATGGTAATTCTAAACACAGAATTTTATTGTTTGATATAAGTATACCTAGATTTGAAAGACGTTGCTAGAGGAATACGGTCCTGCACTGTAGTAATAAAATTGATCTTCGGATATGACCCGATTCCTAAGAAGTAGTTGCTTCGTGTCAAAATGTACGTTTACATCGGTTGCCTCCACAATTCTATCACACCTCAGTTTATAACCACATAGTGTGGTTAGGAAAGCTTTGAATTTTATTTTCAAATCACTTGCTGTACTTAAGTTACATATGTTCCTGGAATCTCTCTATATAGCGTCAATAAACTGCAGTTATCGGTTCTCATAGATTTCGTCTTCTACAATTTGCGCTACTTCTTTTGTAACAGTGATGTTTATGCTGTTTATCCGATGATAGTTTATTCCCTTATGTTCTCTCCGTCTGATACGTATGCTGACCATCGTTTATCTGTAATCTTAAAAATCAACGGTGCAAAAAAATTAAATTTTAGATGTGTGTATTTAGATTCTACGCACAAAGGCAGCCCCAGATCCCCTCCGCGCCAACTCATCGTCAACTTCGTTGCCCGCATGACCACTATGGCCCGGCACCCAAATGAGCATCACTCTGTTCTCCGATACCAATTCCCTAATTGCAGCAAGGCAGCTCCAGACCAGCTGGGATGTAACCTGAGCTGAACGGAGTGCCAGCAGTGCAGCCCTGCTGTCTGAGAACACATAGATGGTGCAGTTTCTATACCCCCTTTCCAAATTGATTCTCAGACAGATCTCTATTGCATGTATTTCGGCCTGGAACACTGTGCAATACGGGTCAAGGGTTGCATATATACGCGTGTCCGGGCGGACACCGTATACGCCCAAACCCACACCCAACTCCGTTTTGGACCCGTCCGCATACCACACGCTCGAACCCGACCTAAGTACCGGACCACCTCGATCCCATGTTCATCGATCGGGAAACAGAACCCTGTACCTGTGGTCGAAGTTGTACCGCGGCAGACAGGTATCTGACATGGTTATTCTTAGAATCGGATCGCCCTCAATGAAGTCTCTGTGAGTTCTGTGGGCCAACTTTAGCCCTGCCCCGTCCTCGCCAGAGAGAAGTCGGTAAGTCACCAGCCGAGCTTCCTTCAATATATGGAGGTGCAATGGCGGCAATCCGATCATCACCTCCAATGCAGCGGTGGGAGCCGTCCGCATCGCCCCGGTCACTCCCAGGCAGGCCAGCCTCTGTAGGTTTTCCAGCTTGGCCCGCACACCCGCCTGCTTAGCCTTACGGCACCATACAATCGACGCATAGGTGACGATGGGCCTAGCAAGGGCCGTATATAGCCACAGTGCTATTCTGGGACTAATTCCTCAGGTCCCCCCGATAAAGCTCCTACACGTCCACAAGGCCGCCATAGGTCTCCCAATAACTCTATCTATATGGGTATTCCAAGAGAGACGATCATCCAGGGTTACCCCCAGATACCT